AGAAGAGAGCACAAGTCTTTCATATTGAATAAATGAAATCGTTCCCCAAAAGGTGAATGGGTTTTTAGAAACAACAAACAAGGAAGACTGAGCCTTTTCAACAGGAATATGAGCCTTTTCAACAGGAATATTCCATGTGTCAAGTTTTTTTTTGCAGGAGCATGGCTTCTTGACAAGAATGCTGTGTAATCTTATGGGAAAACTGCTATGTGCAAGCAACATAGTCATCTTTGCTTTGCAGGATTTTCAAGGAATATTGCTTTGGTGCATTGGATATTGCACTGTTTGGCATGAATTCTGCATATGAAAAAGGCGGCTGTAAACTGAAAAGCACGCTACATATGGCACAGGAATATTGCCTGCTTGAAGGGGTACCATATCATTTGGAAGAAGGTGGGTTTCTTTTAAAAGGGATACTGCATTTTTCAGAGGATTCCTCCATAGTTTTTAGGGGTATTGAAAAACATTGTACTTTCTCAAAGGAAGAATGCAACTGAATGAAACATGCTTCTTTACGAACTGGGGACACTGCATTGTTGAATTTAATAATATATTACATTTTAGAACAGGAATGCACTATCATGTTAAAGTCATGCTAAATATTACGGACACATGTTTCCCTTCAAGGGAAGGATCTATTTCCCTTTTTAGACCCCCTGCATCTTTTAGACAAAAAACGTGATATTTTGCAAGGGATCGTGGAAGGGTTCAGGCAACTATTTTCATGATATCAAGGCGCACATATATTTAATTCAATATTCGTATTCCTGAATTGTGTGTACTTACAATTTCGGGCCTTTGCCTTTTGCCTCTGATGTATCTGTTTAATTGCATTCAATTCAATAAGAACAACATAATTCACAAGGTGACTCTTCAACAAGAAATATGAATATGATTGTGCATGGGAATTGCATGGAGTTAGATTATATCTGAAGTAAAACCTAACCTTATGGATTTGGCAATTTTAAGTACATAGTTGGGTTAAAAATATGTGCTTAAGAGTGCAATTGTTCATATCTGGATTAATTTATCTAGGATTTGCAAAAAAAAACATATCTCAACGTTCTGCTGCTCACAGCAGGTCCCTCCCTTTTTTTTAATCATGTAACAAGCCTTCCGCTGACAACAACCCCTCACCGGATATTAAAAAACATAATCATGTATTGAAATATTGGTTTGGATAATGACAATATTATAATATTATATGTTATATCCTCTTGGTCGTTCGGTCGTACGCTTTTGGTCGTTCGGTCGTACGTTTCGGTCGTTCGGTCGTACGTTCGGTCGTACATTCGGTCGTTCGGTCGTACGTTCGGTCGTGCGTTCGGTCGTTCGGTCGTACGTTCGGTCGTACGTTCGGTCGTGCGCCTGGCACGTACCGTCCCATCATAATTGGGGCAGCGACCTTTCGAATTGAGCTAAAATATACCCCAAATTCTAAAATGTTCATCAAACTTTCCATGGGAAGGGGTCCTGACAAGCACATATTCAATCCCAGTATAAAGGTGTCGAAACTTCAGCGGGGGGGAAAATACAAAATCCCGTAATCACATTACATACTGGTGGATTTGCTTTATTACACAAACCAGAGAACAAACACAATGTTGATTCTGCAGTCCCCCATCACCATGAATCCCTGACATTGATTGTCCATTTTGATTGGACACACCCTTGGCAATGCTTGACTTGACATTTTGATTGACATTATGTGCGCTCTTGCTGTATGGGATTTTTTTGAAAAAGGAATCTATGCAAACAATACATATCAAAACACAACTACACCGGTTTTACATAACAAATGTAAATCCTCTACCATAAGGCGAGAAGTGGACATACAACCAAGATGTTCAGATGTTATGTTTGTTTGTAAACGAGACTTCATGGGATTTCACCAAATATGTTACAAAATCGCTATGATCAAAAATGGAAGTAACTTGAAACATAGATAAAAGAGGTGAGAAATTTGTAATAGCTCTGAGCGGCTTCGAGCAGTTTAGAGCTATTTCTAAAACACTGCTTAGTAATAGCTCTGAGCGGCCCCGAACGGTTTAGATCTATTTATGCTCAAAACCATCAATTTTAGACTATAGCTCCAGAGCGGTTCCGAGCGGTTCAGAGCGGTTTCTAAATTTGGAAACGTCAAAGATAGATCTGAACGGCTCCGAGCGGTTTAGAGCTATTTCTAAAACACTGCCGAGTAATAGCTCTGAGCGGCTCCGGGCGGTTCAGAGCTATTTCTGAAATGGCCAACTGAAAAATTCATTTTTGAAAATATTTTTTACTTCATACCAATAAAAAAGACAAGCACGTATGTTATGATAAGCTTAAGTTATTGAAAGAAAAGTTGCTACTTGATTACATTGCAAACACGAACACGGATACGGGTCAATCCATCACCCTACAAACTGCCATGAAATGAAAGCCCGGCTGGAGCACCAAAAAGCACAACAAACCAAGGGACGGGTTTTGTAGAAGGCGGCTTTTCATTTTAAGACATGTAAGATGTGCTGCCAGGGATGCTTCTAAGGAGCTAAGGCTATGGCTATGCATATTGCCTTTTGCAATGTCACTTTTTCATACTTTTTCTCCACAGCTCCATGGTGCATGTGCATGGGCTGAAAACCCTTCTTACAACCCAGTCACCCGCAATGCCCCATAGGACAAGTTCAAGGCCTGCGGCTCCCTCTTGTTCAGGTCAAGGCCCTCCAAAGGCCCAGGGTTCACTCTAGTTAAAAGCGGGGGGCGGGCTACGCAAATTCAAGGGAAATTTTAGAAATAGCTACGGGAATTTTAGAAATAGCTCGGGGAATTTTAGAAATAGCTCGGGGAATTGTAGAAGCAGCGCCAAGCCGCTCTAATAGCTTTGCGGCTGCTTTTCTGCAGAAACTCCGCCGGCGCTGCCCCGATGACTGTAGCTAGGGGCCGTCGGGACGAGAGGTGCCACATGTTGGTTCTGAGGGGCTGCTGACCCTGTGAAGCTCTGCTGTGAGAGACCTCTCCACAGCCTCTCCACGGCCCTGGGGCTTTAACGCTGGCACAACAATTTCCTTCGCATGCTCTAGCTTGGCCCACTGACAATCAACCAGGACAAAGTAGGCTCTGTTGCACAGCACTTTATGACAAGGATGACGCATTTGGAGGTGCGCCATGGCAATGGTGGCAACGGTGGCAATGGTGGCAATGATGATGATGATGATGATAATGATGATGACGACGACGACGACGACGATGACGATGACGAGGATGAGGATGAGGATGACGATGATGAGGACGACGATGACGATGACGACGGCGACGACGACGATGATGATGATTATGATGACGATGATGATGATGATGACGATGACGATGATGATGATGATGATGATGATGACGATGACGATGATGGCAATGATGATGAGGATGATAAGGGTGATGAGAATGATGATGATGATGACGATGCTGATGGTGGTTGCGATGATGATTCAATGATGATGGTGATGATGGTGATGATGAGGATGATGAGGATGATGATGCTGATGATGCTGATGGTGGTTGTGATGATGGTGATGATGATGATGATGATGATGATGATGACGATGACGCATCTTCATGATCATGACGATAATGTTGCTGTTGATGATGCTGATGGTGATGATGATCATGAGGGTTCCTATGGTGATGGTGGGTAAAATCATGATGATGGTGATGGTGAATGTGATGGTGGTGATGGTAGCAACTGTGATATTGAGGGCTTAGCATGGTGAATAGCAGGCTCAAGCATGATTATTTCAAGGGCTTTGGACTTTGCTTGGAAAGAGGCCATATTTTGCGATGTTTATATTGCTGCTTTGGGAATATAGGAAAAGCTTCCGAAATATGTCGAAAGGAATTCCGAGATTGTGTGAAGTAGCTCTTAAATTTGAGGGAAAAACAAAACTTGTAGACATAGACAGAGTGAAATATAGTTGTGAAAATTCAGGAACCCATGAGGCGAATACCAATATTTAAGAATCTAAGTTTTTCAAAGATGCTGAAAGTTTTAGAAATAGTTGTAAGCATTTTGAGAAAAATTGGTAGAATTTTGGCAATAGTTGTAGTCATAGTTGCGAAAAAAATGACACAATTTTCGAATTTCACAAAGGTGCTGATTTTTTGCAATTGCTTTTTTTTAACCCTAGTTCTTCAGGACTTGGAAATACCATGTCAAATTTGAAACATACTTGTTGAATTGTAGAAAAGGTTGAAATTCTTTGAACTATTTTGGAAATACCTTTGAACATTTTAGAAATAGCTTTGAAGCTTCTGAAAGAGGATTGACAATTTTAGAAATAGCTCTGATTTTTTTAGAAATCGCTCTGGAAAATCTAGAAACCGCTCCGAGGATCTCACAGGGGCCCTAAATAAAGAAGCCGGCGCCAGCTGGAACACGCTGAGGATAGATTCCGAGGGATAGGGCCAGGAGACACGGTCAGCGAAGATGAGGACCTCTATCTCACCAAAACAGAAGCATAGCTCAGCCGCTCTAAGGAGGGTGGCACTTTGCAATGGGCAACGCTTAGTTTAGCATGTAAGTAAGTAGAGACGGCAAATCATGGGCACATGTCATGCATGTTGCAGTCCATTTTGTGGACTACGGTCCATCGCCCAAGCAAAAAGATGCGCATCGCTGCATTGCACCTAGTTGGAACTATGCTTCGAACCCAATACCGCTGACCGCTGCGACTTTGCTGTTTGTATGTTCAGATGCTGCAGAAATACTGCAGCACCATCCCCGCTGTCCCAGGCGCAAGCTTACGGTAGTTCCATTTCAAAAACATCAGCGGCGATGAAAAATGTTGAAGCGAGCAGAACCCTAAACGTGCGTTGGGATGCTTTGTACTTTTTTTGTGTGTGGAGGTGTGTGCAACATGGATGTTTATGCATCTATCTATCTATATTGGCTCAAACTTTTCGAAAGTTGTGACTGTGCACCCTGAGACCTCGAGCGGCTTGGCAGTTTTCAACAGCTATCGGCAATCATGTCGTCCATGGCCGCCGTTCCGCAGACTGATGAGGAGGAAATGGAAACTTCACAGATTTGGGGGTCAACCAATGGAAACGAAGCAAAGGTTTCTCATTGGTTTTCTCGCGCGAGGGCCTCCTTCATTGTGCCCGCTGTTGGTCTCATGGTTGTGGGTGTCTTGGCATTGGGCGCGATTCGCGCGAATGTGGCCCCTCAGACTGCTCAGGACCAGGCTGGAATTGTCCAATTGGGCGATTTCAAGATCCCAACGCTTCCAGCGAATCCGATCGATGAGTTGAAGAAAGACATCAAACAACCAATTACAAAATTCAAAGCAGACTTGGGCATCAATGACTTGAGGGGGGATCAGATTGCACTTTGCGTCGTCAATCTCAACTTGGGAATCTGGAAGGTGATTCAGGTGGGAGCACTCATCACCAAAACGGTGGACAATTGTGCATATCAAACCACCAATATCGACAAGAAAATTGCATGCAATATCAATCTTGCTGCGATCATAGTTACTTTGTCAGAAATGATGGCCTTCTTCACCAGCACCTCCACCTTATGCACAGGCAAAACAAACCCAGATGCCCGCTGCACAGTATTTATGGCACTGACCTTCAGGCATTTGGCGCTCTTTGCTGCAGCTGAGAACCAAATTGCCTCTTTTGCCCTAAGGCCTCATACGAAACAACGGTCGTGGAAGGTGGAGTGAGAACCTATGATGCTGCAGAACGCCGACTTCTTTCGAATTCATCCTTTGCTAACAGCTCTGCTGACAGAGAACTCTCCGCAGTGGTGGTTCCCGACCCCCCCGCCGCTCCGATTGCAAAATTGTTTTGCGCATGGAATGTTGCTGAGAGTTTCTGGTTCTTTGCTCGTATTCCCCCATTGGCCGACATCGCACGCAGACGTTGCCCGGCAGGGAGGACCGCAAGGAGCAAGGCTGCTTGTTCCGAGGTGATCAATAACATCCTCACCATGACATTCAACGGGGTCAAGTTGATCGCTGCAGCCACAACCAATTGTGTGGAAGGCACAAACGTGGCTGCTGGATGTGCTGCTGGCAGTCTGAATTTCATGTCAGGAATCACCGGGATAAGCTGGGTGGCCTCGGCCTTCGCAAACGGTGCATGCACAGATTTGGATGTAAAGAGGAAAGCTGCCACGGAGGTACGCATCAATAGAAAGATTCACAAGATTAACCTCATCAAGAACGACACGCTGCGGCGCTTGCTACGAGAGAAGAAACTCGTAGGCCCCGCCATCGCACAAGCTCACCAGATGATTGCTCAAGAAGAGGAGGACACACGCAACAATGCCACCACAGAAGAACTTGTCCGCCATCTTATGCAACAGATGAATCCACAAGAAACCGAGACAGGTTTTGAAGATGATCCCTATGAACTTGTATTGTCACACCTCCAGAGCTTGAAGGCACCCAGTGAGGCAGAGTGGCAGCAGATGATGGCAAAGCTGGGCACCATTCAGGACACGGCCTCCAGCCCTGTCCTTGCATAGATTGAGCTTCATCCTTTGTGACTGAGAAGCATCAAATTCAGCTTCCGCACCCTTGCATGGAGTGCCGGGTGCGAGCTGGTGCCAAGAAGTCACTGTGAAGTATGTAGAGCGATTGCAAAAAAGAACTAAAACACGCGTTGAAGTATGTGACTGCTTGGTTTGCTAACTCCTTGACTTCGAACCGACCCAAAGAAGGTCCTCAGCCACAGCATCGCCTGTCAGACATGCAGGCATTCCGAGCTGCAAGTAATCTGGCAGAGAAAAGTGATGCTTCTTCAGGTCCCAAGCGCTGCTTGGAGCTCAAAAAGAAAGCAACAGGAGCACAGCAGCATGGATAAGAAAACGTAAGAACGTTTATTCATAGAAATGTATGTATGGATCAAGCGCAGATCATCACAGCAAGCAATACAAGGCAAACATTCTGGACACTTGAAAGTGTGTATACATATATACCTGCATCTTCCAAGGTCGTCGGACTTAATGAGAGTTTGATTGGAGTTCAAATCACGACTATACTGTTCGTGATCCTGCATGTGGCTTTGCATAGGTCGAACAAAGCTCACAGAGGAATGTTGAAGAGGCTTCTTTTGATACTCCAATCAGGATGGAGGAAGGACACCAGCGTTTCAGATGCATTTCTGCCACAATACAATTTGAATCAGCAGGTCAACTGGTTGTTGAATTCACCGACAATTTGTGGGACTTACTGCAAATTTGTTCTACTGAAAAATGTCCGATTTGTTTGTGTCCACAATCTGCACCTGAACCTGAGTTTCTGAAGATCCTTGAGCCCAAACATGGAATTCGCTCCTCCACAGGCTGGTTTAGAAAACATAGAGGGACCGGATGGTGTGGGAGACCTCACTGTGACCCTGAAGCAGGCACAGCATGGTGCAGCATGGCACGGCAGCGCGAAACCAATGGCTCAGCTCCAGCTGTTTGTTGTCCTTGTCGTTGGCCTTGTCCTGTCGCAGGTCAAGGAGCAAACAGAGACTGAGATGTCGGCCACACGAGCAGAACAGAAACATCTTGACATTTGATTTGGCGGCTTGGCGTCAGCAATGGTACACTGTGGGCGTGTGAGCTTCTGTGTTTTCATAGACAAACATTATGTCGATGATATCATCACGGCCCCATGTGCTCCTGTTGTTACTGCCTCCCTTCAACCCCATAACCATCCAATATTGTAACCGTCACTGGTTGCATGCAGTAATTGTGCAATATTGCACATTCAGCACATTCTGCTAGCAACAACAGCTAAGACCCTTGGCACTTCGTCATTTACCCTTGCAGCATTGGATGTACAGTATCACAATGATATCATGTAATGTACAATCAGAGACAGAAGGATGGATGAAAAGATGTGTATTTGTAGGTATACTTAGCTGCCATTGCACAGCTCACACCAAGTTTTCAGAACAGAGTCCTTTTCAGGGAAGCTGCCACACTAGATCATACGCACGAACGCGTACGCGTCACAAACCCCAAGAGCATGGCTGTCGTGATGTCGCTCGCTGGCTTGGTTCTGAGTTACCCTGAGCCAATGCATGGTTTCCTCACCGCAATCTTGCCAATTGAGATCAATGAAAATACAGCGCAGCATTTTTGTGGTTGATTCACGGGTCCCGGTCAATAGCTGGTTTTTTCTCAAGTTGTAGCTTACCTAGCGCAATCCTAATTTGGTAAATATATATATGTGTGTGATATATATATATAATATGATATATACATGTGTGTGTGTGTCTCATTCAAGAGGGGCGGTCACAGTCTTCATCTTCCGGAGGTCATAATTCATTATTGACATTTGTTGTTTCCTCTTCGTAAGAAGCGGGCCCGCAGCTAAATCATGTAAATCACCAACTAGGCGCTAGATTCGCGCTAGCTCAGCGCTATACTTATCAATCTGTTGTGTGCAATTTCTGCAGCATTCAAATTCAAAACCGTATCTTTATCAGTCTCCAACCTTTGCGGCATGTGAACAAGACGACATACATTACACATTGCATGATTGCCATTTTGGAAAAAAACAACCCTTTTTCGCGCTAGTACAGATCTAGTTCGGCACTAGCAAAACAGGCGCTGAGCAACTAGGAGTCCATGCCGAATGCAGATGAAGCTAGCAGTTTTGAAGGAGTATTCCAAGATGTATCTTGCAATTGGCTTCCAAGAGACTTTCAAGCAAAAGAAAACAATACAGTTTCAGAGCTCGTTCCGGCGCTGAAGATTCGAGTTCCAGTACCAGAGAGACCTCTGAAGAAGACAACTAAAAGTCATGCGCTAGTGCCCCTGCCACAATTTTTGAATTGATAACCCAAAATGCCAGACATGTCACGAAATCTAAACTTGTTAAAATGCAATTGCATGCAATTGCCAAGAAGCGGGCCCCCATGTGATTACGAATTACGACCGCCTTCGGGAACCAACATTTTGCACAGGAAACATATGTATATATAGATATAATATGATATAATATATATATATAGATATATATATATATTATATACACATATATATATATATACATATATATATACATATATATATATGTATATATATATGTATATATTTGGGTCCGTGTCCTTTGTGATGATTTTTTCTACCGGTTTCTCTATCACTCCATCAATCTACTTGCTATCCATGCATCCATCTCTTTCTCTCAATATCTCTACCAATCTGTGTGTGTGGTAGAAACACGACTTGCGCCTGTCGATGCAGGTCTGCGGGCTACCTTTGGCTGATCATCGCAGTGGGACCTGTTGCGCTGACCATTGATCTGATCAAGGCAGATAAAACGTGGCCTTTTAAGCGTACAACACACGCGAGCCAGTGAAATGCTGCAGGAAATACATGGAGGGTTGAAGTCCTTGCTGTAAGGTTTGTGTGCTGTTATGTAGGCATCAAAATAGTGTTCATGTGATTTGGTGTTTGATGACCGACTTTGACTTTAGTCTTGAGCGACTACCACTCTTTCAGGCTGGACAAGGAGCAGTTGGAAGCACAAGCTGCAGGTTGCTTCTTTATGTCGACTCTTCCTTGTGCTTTGGCCAGATTGGGAGAGGAACAATGTCTGTCTCTAGACAGTAGAATCACCAATTTTGGTCTTTTTATCAGAAGTTCTCCCTTGGATTTCTTGGACGGTCCTTTCCTTTGATGACTGCAATGCACACTATCGGTGCTAGTAGATGGCAAGACTTGTTCAATGATGTGCCGCCGTGATGGCATCATTCAATTGACTTTCCAACTGGCACATCTGGCACATCTGGCACATCTGGCACATCTGGCACCCGGCATTGTTTATTTGTGGTGAAGTATCATGAAGTCGTTTTTGGAGCGATGCCGGCGATTCCTTTAGCGATGCCGACTTCAGGCAGTCTTTCCGACTTTCTGGCTGCAAGTTGAACAGTGGCCCAGAGTACGCCCTCCATGCCTACATCAAGGCAGGTTGGCAGCTTCACAGCAGGGAGAGATGGTTTCGGTGATTAATAATGAGATATAATGAGTAAAGGTGAGATGAACACGTGCAACCAAATCGACCAAGGTGGTCACTCAATGAATGAACCTGGTTTGATTGGTTATATAGCCCTTACCCCAAAAGACATCGGTGACATTAGTAGTATGTAATAGTATGTATGCATTTGTTTTCAGCACAGAATAGTATTTTCGAGGACAAACCCTGCAGGAGCTACCTTTGTCACCAACCAGTTCTGGTCCTTTTTGATGTCTTCCCCAAACGTGGTTGGCATGGCCAATGCCACAGCAGCTGGCTGGGGGAACTTGGGCAGCGGTGTTACACAGATGTTTATAATCTCAGTGCTGTTCAATCCAATGGTGAGTTCTGGCATGCCAGCAAACACTGCCTGGCGAGTTGCCATGATCGTTCCTGCTGTCCTTTTCCTGATTTGCGCAGCCACCATGAAACTCTTGTGTTGGGACACACCCGCGGCCAAGCGCTCCGATGTGTCTGTGACTGGTAAGACCCAGAAACCATCTTTGTGGGACTATGTCGCGGTGCTGAAAGACATCCGCATCATTGTGATGATTTTTCAATACAGTGTATGATTCGGCACCAAACTCGCTATGAACAACCAACTGGCCACCCATTTCAGGACCTATTTCCAAATGGATGCGGCAGATGCATCAGCCTTGGCAGGAGCTTTTGGCCTCATGAACCTGTTTTCTAGGTCCCTGGGAGGCATCACCTGTGACGTCCTCTTCAAGTACGTTGGTTTCCGAGGTCGCATTTGGGCGCAATTCTTGGCCCTTTTCTTTGAAGCGGTCTTCCTCTTCTGCATGGTGGACAGCTCGCAGCCATGGTATGTTGCTTTGGCCGTGTTGATTTGTTTCTCCCTCTTTGTCCAGATGGCAGAAGGTACAACTGTGGAATTGTGCCTTTCATGAACAAGCAGCAGCTGGCGGTGGTGTCTGCACTGGTTGGGGCTTGCGGAAATTTGGGAGTTGTTATCCCTGGGTTTTGCTTTTACAAACCCATCAACGATCCGCTGCTTCCTTTCCAGGTCCATGCAGGACATGTCATTTTTTGGGCTTTGCTGTCCCCTTGCTACTACTGGCGGGAGCATGGGGGCATCTTCCAAGGCCCAGCTGTGGATAAGATCGGATAAGACCTTTGTGGATAAGACATCTGCGGATAAGACATCTGAGCCAGCTGGGGAGAAGCCCCAAGCTGCAGAATCCACTGAAATGACCGTATAAAGCTTGGCCTGTTCTTTTTTGTCACCTAGGTATTGGAGAAACATTTTTTTCGAAGATAGCAAAGGACAGTCATGCAGAAGGCATGCTTTGCTGCCCAGAATGATCCTTTGCATGGAGCGCAGGATCATTTTGTTTCTGGCGGATGAGCACCAACGTCGCTGATAGGCTGATCTCAGCACGAAAAGGAACTTGAGCAGCTTGGGGCAAACCGCATGGAGAGTCTCTCTTGCATGGCTACATCTACAGCCAAGCGTGGCCTTTTACGTTTGAATTTGTAGGCAATTTGTCGCTGTGTTGCTGAGAGGTCTACAGTATCTGTACTTGTATTGGTCTGTGTATGAAATGGAAAGTACAGTCCAGTCGATGGCATATAGCATATTTATATATATATACACATTAGCCATATAGCCTTTCAAGCCGGACGGCGGAAGTTCCAAAAATCTAAAACAATTCAATGCTTTAGGACGACGCAATAGCTATATGAATGGAATTCAAGTTTTTTTTCTTTTCTTGTCTTTTCCTTTCTTTCCTCAGCTTCTTGTTTTTGTTTTTGGTTTTCTCTTCTCTTCTCTGTTCTCTTCTCTTCTCTTTTCTCTTCTCTTTTCTCTTCTCTTTTCTCTTCTCTTTTCTCTTCTCTTCTCTCTTCTCTTTTCTCTTTTCTCTTCTCTGTTCTCTTCTCTTCTCTTTTCTCTTCTCTTTTCTCTTCTCTTCTCTCTTCTCTTTTCTCTTTTCTCTTCTCTGTTCTCTTCTCTTCTCTCTTCTCCTCTCTTCTCTTCTCTCTTCTCCTCTCTTCTCTTCTCTCTTCTCTTCTCTCTTCTTTTCTCTTCTCTTTTCTCTTCTCTTTTCTCTTCTCTTTTCTCTTCTCTTCTCTCTTCTTTTCTCTTCTCTTTTCTCTTCTCTTTTCTCTTCTCTTTTCTCTTCTCTTCTCTGTTCTCTTCTCTTCTCTTTTCTCTTCTCTTCACCTCTCCTCTCCTCTCCTCTTTTCTCCTGATTTTTTTTTGCGTTTTTTAAGACTCTATTTTTTGAGCTAGCTTTTGGCTTCTGGCTTCTGACTTCTGGCTCGTGTGGCTTTTGGCTTTGGGCTTCTTCGGTCCGAGGAGCGAAGAAAAGGAGAGAAATACCATGCAAAATGAAATGTTTGAATTTCAAGATGCTGCACATCAGAAAAATGATAAGTTCGAGTTTCAAAATGCGGCGAAAACCATACAAACTCAGAGGTTCCAGCTCCCAAAGAGGGCCGGTATGGACTAGTGCATCCCTCATGCGTCAGACCTGGGTTCAATACCCGGGTGCAACACTAGGCGGACAGGCGGGCCCGTAAACACCTTGTGGTTCCAGCTCCCAAATGCTTCAGATATGATGTAAAATGAAAGGTTCAAACTGCAACACGTGCAGGCACTGTGCCGCTGAGAGTTCCTGTTTTCAAGAATATTGAATATACCGAAATTGATGGGAACCATTGGGAAATATAACTGTAGACGAAATGAGAGAGCTACCAACTGCCAACTAATAACAACAACCAACAACTTACAATCACCACCACCACAACAACAACAAACAAACGCAAACACACCAACAGAACGCCTTAGGACCCTCACCTCCCTTTGTATTTGGCCTCTCAGTGAAGGTGTAGGTCGATTTCCAGGACTATTTGCAACATGTTCGGAGCTATTGGAAAAAGGATTTTGCTCAGACATTTGTTTCTAAGAGCTATTTCCAAGATATGAAGAACTATGTTAACTTGGATTTGTTCATTGTTTCACTTTAGAACCGTCAAAACAACGATGTGTGAATTCTACCATGTCTTTCACTCATGTGTGCAGCCAGGTTGACACATCTATCCGCTGCTGTATCGGATCGTAGGGCCCTTTGAGCCATACGCGCTGTGAAAAAGGCTTGTTTTGCTTTTTGGACTGCGCGATACCGTGTCAAATTCACATTGGTAGCGGAGCAGGTGACGACCTGCATCCGGGCACGTTGCAGATCCAGTGACCGCTTTCTTTTCCTCGCTCTTTTTCATCCAACCGTCAGACTTTGAGCACTCGTTCTCCGAAATCGGCTGTACTCAGTAGTGTGAGACAGCCCTGCAATCAGTTGATCCATGTGGCACAACCCAGCATCCGCCGAAATGTCCATTGCCGGACTTAAGTTTCAGCCAGGAACATCCAATAGAATTGCCGGATCCCCACAAGAGACTAAATCGGGGTCATACATCTATTGGGGTGATGCCGCATCTTTTCATGATTGGAAGTTCCGAACTGAACTCAGAATCCGATTGCGTGATCAAGCCCAGTCGCAGCAGGATCCTGTTGATGGACCTGCGACTGCGACTGCGACTGCTGCCACTGCATCCGCAGAACCTACTTTGGTGCTCCTATCGAGTTATAAGTAGTTATAACTTTAGTTATACAAAAAGTTATGAAAAGTTATGAAGTGAAGCAAATATCAACTATTTTGTCACATTTTTATAATTTAGAAAAATTGAAAAAACATTTGTTTTTATTGTATCGAAAACAATATGTTTTCTAATTACAGCGGTTGAGCCGCTTCGAAGTTCTTTTTTTGCAAAATGAGCGGTTTTCACCGCTTCCATGGCTGAGGGAATGTGCAACTGGTCTTTAAACAGAACAGGCCACTGTGGGAGTGCGCCTTTTTAGGTTTTTTTGTGCACCTGCAATGGGTTAGTTTGCTCTTTGCAATCTCACCTTTGCAGTTTCTTTTCTTTTTACAAAGACAAAAAAGAGAAACCAAAACACAAAAAAAAACAAGAAACAAAAAAAAAAAGACAAGACCCAACACTCTGCATCTGACCCCCTCCCCTTGAGGTGTGCAATCTTGTTTTTTGTTTTTTTTTGTTTTTTTGGTTTCTTGGTGTTTTGCTTTCTTGGTTCGTTGTTTCTTTTGAGGGACTGGCAAAAAAAGTGGCAGGATCTAACTCTTTGCCACTTTTCCCCCCTTAGGGATTGCAAATTTGTTTGTGGTTGTTTCTGCTTGCTTTAGGTCTGTGGTTCCATTAGAAACCATGTAAAAACCAAGGAAAATGCAGGTATCCTTGGGGGAAGGTTAGGGGCTTGGGGCATGGATTAAGCAATTTTGTCTTTGACTTATTTTTGAAAATATGCCAGAAGACTATGAAAAAACAAAGGCAGCCAATGAGTACGTTTTTTGATATTGACATTGTTGACTATAAACCCCAGTTTCCCCTAGTACATCTCAATATATCCCACCCATATGGAAATGTCTCAAAATGAGGCGCGCCCTTTTTTTCCTCTTTAAAGTAGCGTTTTGGGGGGTCAAAAAGGGCGCGCCTCATTTTGAGAAATCCCCATATACCACAGAGGTCTTTACAGGCTGGGGTGAGGGACTGAGGGATTGGACTAGATTAGATTGGATTAGATTAGATTAAATTAGATAGGTTGGATTGGATTGGGTTGGCTTGGCTTGGATTGGATTGGATTGGGTTGGGTTGGATTAGATTAGATTAGATAGATTGGATTGGAATTAGATTGGATTGGATTGGATTAGATTAGATTAGATAGATTGGATTTGACTGGATTGGATTGGATTGGACTGAATTGGATTGGATTGGATTAGATTTGATTGGATTAGATTAGAGTAGATTAGATTAGATAGATTGGATTGGATTGGGTTGGGTTGGGTTGGATTGGATTGGCATTAGATTAGATTAGATTGGATTGGGTTGGATTGGATTGGAATTAGATTAGATTAGATTAGATTGGATGAGGTTGGATTGGATTGGATTGGATGGGCTGGGATTGGATGGGGGAGGGTTGGATTGGATCTGATTGGATTGGGTTGGATTGGATTGGGTTGGATTGGATTGGGTTGGATTGGATCAGATTAGATTAGATTAGATTGGATTAGGGAGTGTACCAGTATACCACCAGTATACCACCCGTATACCACCAGTATACCACCAGTATACCACCAGTATACCATGGTATACGGTCAGTATACCATGGTATACGGTCAGTATACCATGGTATACGGTCAATATACCCTAGTATACCGTAGTGTACCCAAGTAAACCCAAGTTTCCCCTAATATATCTCAATATATCCCACCCATATACCACAGAGGCCTTTTTCAGTATTTGAATAAGATTGGATTGCATTGGATTGGAATTAGATTAGATTGGATTGGATTGGGTTGGATTGGATTGGATTGAAATTAGATTAGATTAGGTTGGATTGGATTGGATTGGGTTGGATTAGAATTAGATTAGATTAGATAGATTGGATTGGATTGGGTTGGATTGGATTGGATTAGATTGGATTGGATTGGATTGGATTTGTTTGGGTTTGAGTGGGTTGGATTGGATTGGATTGGATTAGATTAGATTAGATATATCTGGATTGGATTGGATTTGACTGGATTGGATTGGATTGAATTGGATTGGATTGGATTGGATTAGATTTGATTTGATTAGATTAGATAGATTGGCTTGGTTTGGATTGGATTGGATTGGGTTGGATTGGATTGGGTTGGGTTGGATTGGATTAGATTGGATTTGTTTGGGTTTGATTGGATTTGATTGGATTGGATTGGATTAGATTAGATATATCTGGATTGGATTGGATTTGATTGGGTTGGATTGGATTAGATACATATATCAATCAAAAGTAATCCAGGTTTCCAAGAATGCTGCTTTTTTAAAGGAAGATTGTGTTGCCATAAAGGACAATGCTCTGTTTTTAAGGAGCGAAAAAACATTCTTAAAGAATCTCACATTTTAACACATATTGCACTTTTGAAAGGGATGCTCTATGTCAAAAATACTGCATATTGTGCAGCAAATTTGGCTTTTCTAAAAGGGATACTGCTCCTTTGAAAGGAAGGTTAGACATGTGGAAATAACAAGATTTCCTTTGAAAGGGGTCCCCAAGGTGAAAGAGGTCCTGGCCAAGAATGTTCCCTATGCACGCGAAGCCCCCAAGATTAATTTCGACCGAGTTTTTCATACAAAGGCAAAAACTCGGTCGAAATTAATCTTGGAGGCTTCTAGGCCAGGACCCCTTTCACCTTGAGGACCCCTTTCAAAGGAAATCTTGTTAAATGCACACTGTACTCCTCCAAAGGGCATGGTGAAACTTTTAAAGGAACACTTGATATTTTATAGGGATATTGTTCTGCAAAAACACACTGCATTGCTCCAAAGGAAGATTGCACTTATGAAGAAGGGTATGCTGCATTTCTGTTTTGAATACTGCATGCATTTGTTGGCAGGTATGGGTATGTTGATGTATATTGTAATTACGTTGAAGACATCTAGGATATCCTGCAAAAATTGAGTTTTGTAAAAGCACTCTGCAGCATTTAGCTAAGGTAGAGTGAACACCTGGACACTTCTTCAAGCAATACATCCAGTGGACATGAACACATCTTCATTCACAGTTTGGGCTTTAACACGTGATTAATTATAGTGTTTGACATGCTGAAAACGGCTGTTCAAACAAAAACAGCTTTTAGCGGTTTGAAAACCGCTCCATTTAGCATTTTTTAAAGCGGTTGAAACCGCTTCAAACAGCAAACACTGAAAATCATCAAAAAGATCAAAATTTGAACAATTTTAAAGAAACTTTTTTTTTATAGCAAAAAAAGTTACGAAACGTTAGCTAAGAAGTTATGACTTAGTAACTAGTTATAACTATAGGGTTATAATCACTTACCAACTCTATAGGAGCACCATAGTAGTTGAGAGCCGAATGAGGAAGAGTTTCCCTTTTCTGGCCCAACATGTCCCATCGCCAAAATCTGCTGCATCCCCAAAGACAGCTGCTTCCCCGAAATCAGATTCGTCACAGGGTAAGCAGAAGACACCTTCAGATAGAAGCATCTTAGTTAACAAGATTGTAGAAGGTCTTAGAGGTGATGCTGTTCTGTTGGCTAGAGATTTGGGATTGGAAACCCTATCACGCCCTGGAGGTCTAGCGCAACTCATTGAGACCATCCGGAATCATGTTTTTCCCAGAGCCTTGGAGGAAGGGAAAGAACTTTTTCGTGCTGGACAACAGATTGGTGGTCCTTTGTCACGGCAACCTTCAGAAAGCATGCTGTCATATGTGCAGCGCCATCGTCGCTGGTGGAATGTTTTGACTGAACTAGATCCCAGCATGGCTGTTTCTGAATCTTTCCGGATTGAGCTGATGCTTGAACTTTCAGGGGTTTCTCGACAGGAGATTCTCGTGGTGAAGGCTTGTAGAGCCGATGGTAGCTTCGAGAGCACTGCTCGTGTTTTGATTGACCACTACAGTGGCATTCATCTCCGTGAAGGGTCCCGATCATGGACTGGTAAAGTAAAGTGTACTCAACCTCATCATCTCAATCTGGCAAGGGATACAGTTTCAATAGATCTGCCCACATGGCTTACCCTGAAGGGGAAGACCAGGAGTGGGATGAATCCCAGAATTGGAATGAGGATGATGGGGATGAACCAGACAAGTATGTCGGTTTACTTGGAGGTATTGAGGAACAGGAAGAGCCTGGAAGCCCCGATCATGACTATGAATGGTTTGATGGTGTTGATGAAACGGAAACAGTAGCTTTCAATGCAATGATTGCCCTGAGCATCCCATATTGATTAGGATCAAGATATTGATATTTAAGGCTCAAAAATCAATATGAGATATTGATTTTTCATATCAATATTTCAATGTGAAAAATGATCATTTTGGAATCAAGATTGCAAGTGAGAAAGCAAGATTTCAGAAGCAGCAGCCAAGCCTTTTTCCAAGCAAAACTGGAGATTTTTGTCTCTTGCCAGGGGTGAAACTGCTACCTTCCTAGAGCCTACCTTGGCCTTTGCCAAAGCCTTCTTGGCCTTTGCCAAAGCCTTCTTGGCCTTTTCCAAAGCTCCTGTGCCTTTTCCAAAGCTTTGTGGGCCTTTTCCAAAGCTTCTTGAGCCTTTTCCAAAGCTTTGTGGGCCTTTTCCAAAGCTTCTTGAGCCTTTTCCAAAGCTTTCTCCCAAGACCAGGGAAACCTTTTCCAGGGGCAAGGGTCTTTTCCAAGACTAGCTAGGCTAGCCTTTTTCAAGACCAGGGAAACCCTTTCCAGGGCAAGGGTCTTTTCCGAGACTAGCTAAGCTAGCCTTTTCCAAGACCAGGGAAGCCCTTTCCAGTGCAAAAGGCTTTTGCAAAACCAGCTAAAGCCAAGTGTTTCCAAACTGAATTGCAAGGTGTATGTGTGTGTGTGTGGTGTTGTGCTTATGCTTGGCAGCTGCAGTAGTTGAAGATTGTTGCTTGAAATTGAAGGTGTATGTGCTATACATTTTTGAAATGGCAGGTTCCATACAAACTTGGGCCAGCAGCTGTGGTTGGTAGCACTGAGCAACATTGTATGCCTGGCTACTTGGTATAGGTTGCAAAATAGAAATTGTTCCCAAAGCTTCTGGGCTTACAGATGCCACTCATAGATGCACGCCTTTTCCAAACCATATTTTTGGTGAACTTCTCTCCTACAGGTACCTTTTTCAAGGCTGTCATGAAGGATTGCTTTCCTTTTCCAAGAGAGAGGCTGCAGCTGCAATGCCTTTGTCTTTCTTTGACATGTCATTGTAAGCTGCTTGCTCCTCCTTGGGGCCATGCATCAGAGCAGTCTGGTGCTTGCCCCAAGTCTTTGACTTCTCCAGCTTTGGCATGCTCCCAATGGCAGCCTCATCTGGGTTCTCTGCCCCTTCAGCTGCTGCCTTCATCTTGTCTTTCAAGCTCATCTGGCCTAACTTTTCCAAGCTGGCCTTGCTGAGCTTTGAAGCCTTTCCAGGCTTGCTAGCCTTTCCAGGCTTGCTGGAAGAAGCCTTTGGTTTCTTCATGACTTTCTTGGGCTTTTCCACTTAGGCTTTTCCAAGCCCTTAGGCTTTTCCAAGCCCTTAGGCTTTTCCAAGCCCTTAGGCTTTTCCAAGCCCTTAGGCTTTTCCAAGCCCTTTGCCTTCATGCTTGTCATTGCCTTTTTTGGTGCCATTGCTTCTTTGCACCTCAGGCTATTTAGCGCTAAAACAGGTTTGAACCAAACAGTGCCACATGTAGTTGGTGCCATGTTTGCGTAGATTGCTTGGAAAAGCAACTATGGTAAACCCAAAAACACATAAACAATACAAATGTGTTTGAAACAATCTTTTACCCAACATGGAACAAACAAACACATGAACAATCAGAAAACACACATAAAACAGACCACATTTAACATTGACACAGTTCATTCAAAACTTTGTTTGGTTCACATGCACATGTTTCAAACCCAACCCATAGTGATAGATTTTTGATTTATATATATATATACATATATACATACTAAATGGACTTGTTTCATGCCCTCTGCAAAACAAAATCCAAACACATTGCATGACTGCGCTAATTCATGTTTTGTCAACTATGTTTATCCATTATTTGTGTATTCATATGTTTTGTTTGTGCGTTTGGGTTCGAAATATTTTAAAAAAATATATACATGTGTAAATGTGGTTTTTAATTTAAATAGATAAATGCAACAAAAAAACAAATCCAAATATTACTTTGAATTATATATATATATGTATATGTATTTATTTACTTATTGCATATTTAATTCAATCTTCAAATATTTGCCATTGACAAGCTGGCTGGCAAATACTGCAAACTGGCCACAAACTAAAATGAATAAACCAAAACAGAATATAAAAAAACAAATTGATACAATGATTTAGTTAAAATACAAAGTGATTAAAAAATAACTAACATCTGAAATTAAAAAACATTTCACAAAATAAGAAAACATTCAATAAATCAATAAATGAATGAATGAATAAATAAACAAAAAATAAACAAAAAATGAATTAATGGGGTGCATAAAAAATAAATCAAACATATTTAAATATATATATATATATGTATATATATGTATATATATATATATAAATCAAAATTTAATAGAAAATACGTGTTGAAAAAATTATCGCTGTTTCTCATAGTTGATGTTTAAACCTTTTCCAAGACCTGCTTGTGTGGGAACTTCAGTTGTTTTTTTTCCTTCTGTTGGGAGCTTGTGCTGGGACAGATTTGTTTGTGAAAGGGTTTGTTGAAACACCCTGTGGGGAAAATTTATTTGAGTAGTAATTTGGTTGGGAAACTTCTGTTGGGAACTTTGTTGGGAAAGGTTTAGTTGTGCAGTAGTTTGTTCAGGAATCTTATCTTGGGAACTGTTGGGGTTCCCTGGGAAGAAAATATTTGCGCAACAAATTGTTTTAAAAAACATTTGTAGGAAATCTTAAGCTGGAAACCTTCTGTTTTTTTCATGGATTCTGTTGGAAAATTGGAGTCATAGAAGATCTATCCAGGTGGGTTGGTCCCTTCTGTATTTCATTTTGTGTTCATTGTTTTCAACACTGTGCATTTGATTCTAACCAGAAGGAATGACCAAAGGCCTTGCAATCTGTACTGCGCAGGACAAAAACCGGTGCTTGGAAAAGCACATAGTTTTTTTGAAGCAACCATCCCTTCACTGCCAAACTATGTTTAAAAGAAAGGAGCTGCAATCACAGCCAAGTCCAGTTCCCAAAAAAAAATTGAAACAAAACAAACAAATTATTTTTGTGTGTTTTATTTTTTTGAAAAAACAAGTTTGACCAAATTTGATCAAATTTGATCAAATCTGAGTTTTGATCAAATTTGATCAGATTTGATCAGATTTGATCAGGTTCAGAATTTCTTGTTTGTTTTTCCGTTTTTTTGTTCCAAAAAATCAAAGGTTGTGAGTGTTTAGTTTTTGTCCTAAAAACATGTCTAAAAATGAAAAATAATGTTTGAAAAAAAATTATAGACTATAAACATTTGAAAAAATATATATTGAATGATAAATTAAAAAATTTTGAAAAATAAATGTTTGAAAAAATAATTTTAAAAATCAAGATTGAATCAAATATGCAATAGGTTTTTTTTTATAAACATTTTTTGATTGAAAGTTATTGTTGTTGAATTTGTTTATTCAAAGAAAAAAACACATTTGCACATGTAAATTTATTTCATTTAAAATGTTTCCAACCCACACACACTAACAAACCATATGAATACAAAAATAATGGATAAACATAGTTGACAAAACATGAATTAGCGCATTCATGCAATGTGTTTGGATTTTTTTGGCAGAGGGCTTGAAACAAGTCCATTTAATATGTACATATATATATATATAAACCACAAAAAATATTACTATGGGCTGGGTTTGAAACATGTACATGGGACATGTACATGGGTGAATCTAAAAATTGGGGGGGGGCAAAAATTGTTTTTGAATGGTCCAAAACAAAGAATTTGCCACCCTCCCATGGCACCCCTCATTTTGAGACAAACCCACATGTGAGCCAAACAAAGTTTTGAATGAAATGTTTCAATGTTAAATGGTTTTTGTTTCATGTTTGTTTTGTGAGTGTTCATGTGTTTGTTTGTTCCATGTTGGGTAAAAGATTGTTTCAAACACATGTGTATTGTTTATGTGTTTTTGGGTTTACCATAGTTGCTTTTCCAAGCAATCTACGCAAACATGGCACCAACTACATGTGGCACTGTTTGGTTCAAACCTGTTTTAGCGCTAAATAGCCTGAGGTGCAAAGAAGCAATGGCACCAAAAAAGGCAATGACAAGCATGAAGGCAAAGGGCTTGGAAAAGCCTAAGGGCTTGGAAAAGCCTAAGTGGAAAAGCCCGAGAAAGTCATGAAGAAACCAAAGGCTTCTTCCAGCAAGCCTGGAAAGGCTAGCAAGCCTGGAAAGGCTTCAAAGCTCAGCAAGGCCAGCTTGGAAAAGTTAGGCCAGATGAGCTTGAAAGACAAGATGAAGGCAGCAGCTGAAGGGGCAGAGAACCCAGATGAGGCTGCCATTGAGAGCATGCCAAAGCTGGAGAAGTCAAAGGCTTGGGGCAAGCACCAGACTGGTTGCAGCAAAAATGTCTTTTCCAAGACCTTTTCTGTACAGCTCAGGTCTTTTTAGACCTGGTTGCAGCAATGCAGTCTTTTCCAAGGCAATTTTTTGCTGACAGCTCTTTTCCAAAACCTGGTTGCAGCTATGATCTCTTCCAAGACCTGATGGTGTCTTTTCCAAGCACTTGGCCTTGCAAGTGTCTTTTCCAATACATTTGGGATGAAGTTCTCTATGAGCCACCATACTGCTTCAGGAGCCTGGCTCTCATAGAGAGGGCTTCTTCCTTGGTCAGGTTGTCCTTTTCTAAGGCTTCCCTGATCTTGCCAATCAAGGCCTTGTAGTGTGGACTCATCTTTGCACTGATTTCCACAATCAGGTGCATTTTGCCACCTTCTACCATCCCACAGATATAAGATCTGGGGTTTTCTTTTTTGGCATCCACTTGCCTGAGCTTAACCCATGGCTTCCTTTCACTGGAAGTGCCTTTTCCAAGACTGTCTTTTCCAAGACTTGCAGCAGGCTTCTTCAAGGGCCTTTTCCAAGACATGCTGCAGGCTTTCCCAAGTCATAGCCCATGGCCTCATGCAATCTGCTCCCTGGCCTTGTTTGGGATACCAGCTTGGGGGTGGAGGCAGGTGATTTTTCCAAACCACTGGTGCCAGAGCGGGGATGGCTTTTCCAAACCACTGCTACCCCTTTTCACCTTTGGGGACTGGGGGCTTGAGCATATCAGGGATAGTATGTTCTGAACCCATGGTGACATCACTATCCCTTGGCACCAGCTGCCTGTTGGCTGCATCTGCTTTTCCAAGCACTTCCTTTTTGCTTGCAAGTGCTTTTCCAAGCTCCTCAGCTTTATCATTGCTCACTTTGATCTTTTCCAAGCCTTCCATGAGAGCTTGGTACTGCAGCCTGGTGAGTTTGCCAGCTATCCCTTTGGAGCTTCCTGCAATGGGTAAGCATGCAGTTCATTCGCTCCACCTTCAAATTGCACCACACCTGTCCACTGTGTTCACTTGCATTCAGCTCAGGCATTTCCACCAAGAGGGACAGCAGTGCTTGCCTCAGTGGTTGTGAGTGGATCATGCCACTGGATTCCAACTTTACCAAGTCTGACCACAGTGGCTGCAAGTCCAGCAATGACTTAGCATTTGGGGCAGAGCTTGAGGAAATGTGCTCATAGCTGCCCAAATTTTTCACCATTGCCCCATGCTTTTTCGAGCACTCATACAGAAGCCCCACATCTACCCAGGGTTTTGCTGGGTTTCTGGCACCACCATGTTTCCCAGACATGGTCTTTGTCAAGACCTGGGGCTAGGGGTCTTTCCCAAAACCAGGGCTTGGACTTTTCCAAGCCAAAGCCTCTTCCAAAATTGCAGCCTTCTAAGGCTTTATATCAGGTTTCTAGAGTTGATAAGCCAAACAGCTGCACAATCATGACATGCATGGTAAGATGGTGATTGGTTGATCTTGATATGTTCTTGATCTTGATCTTGATCTTGATAGGTTTCAAGAGGCTATCAATATGCTACTAAGAAATTGTTCAAGATTTTGATCAAAAGGCTACCAAGAAAAATATCAATATAAAATATTGATCTCTGACTCTGCCAAAAATATCAATATTTCAGAGCCTCAAAATATTGATCCTAATCAATATGGGATGCTCAGGGTGATTTCCCAGATGATGGTGATGATAAACAGATTGGTGATGCCATTCAGTTGCAACTTGCCGCACATGCCGCCTTTGGCAAAGCCAGGGGAAAGGCAAGGGTTTCAAAGGCAACCAGAAGGGCAAGCTCGTCCGCAGCCAGCTGACCCTTCAGCAAAGGCGTGACCGACTGTCTCAATGTCTCCGATGTCGTGGAATTGGCCATTGGGCCGGAAACCCCCAATGTAAGTTTCCAAGAAACAAGGTGCAGGGAAACCCCAAAAGTGCCCCAAAACCTGCTGCCCACTTTGCTGATTTCAGCGATTCATCGTCCGATGATGGAGTGTACGTAGATGTTTCATCTCCGAAGATTGCGACAGCCAACATGGCCGTCCGAGCATCCGACCCGAAAGCCAAGCTAGGTTAGATCCAGTCAGGGCTATCCTCGTTCATCAGGTGCTGCATCTTCTCAGCGTGGGGTTGCATCCGTGAGGACTCCCACACCGCAGGACCTTGATCCCAGACTGAGGCCTGAGAAGGATGGATATGTTTTCCCAATGGGTCAGTTCAAGGGGATGACATTTTGGGATATCTTGCACACCCAGAGGAACTTCTATTGGTGGACAAAGAAGGAACCCACTCGAGTGTAGTCCTTACTTGAAGAAATGGGTTGCATGGGTTGACAAGTTTTTCGATGTTGATGACGCTGGAGTTTACTTGAGGGAGATTCCCAATGATGATCCTGTTGAAGACATGCCCTCAAGGCACGGATTTCACCGAGAGGGGATCAACTGAATACACCATCAGAAAAACCCCACCGAACCCACCAAAGCCCAACAAGTGCACCGAGTGCACGGATTTCACCGAGAGGTGATCGATTGAATACACCATCAGAAAAACATGTCTCGTATGTGGCCATTCAGAAACCATCCGAAGGGATGAAGCCCCAAGGTTTTCTCCAGAGAATTACACTCATGCTGATGTTGATTTTAGAGGATCCAGTCGTACTACCCATCGCACTTTTAGCAAGTTGCGTCAAACCTCCATGGCTATTCGCAAGGAACGGGTTACCATTGCCAAGAAGGTTGAAAGTGCCCCCATCAACAAGATAGCAATTGTTGATTCCATTGTTGAGGATGACGTTGATCACCTCACCCCTGAACAGATCGACAGCATCCCCACCCAGTTTGCCAGCATTGTTGCATCTTGCAGCGAATCTCACGGATGAGCCAGTTGGGCATCCAGATGGAATGGTTGCGGTTCCTGGTGAAGGAATAGACATGTACTCTGGGAGAGACGTGTACTGCATCTTAGATGAGGGATGTAACAGTAGCTGCCACTCCTCAAAATGGGTTGAAGACGCAACTCGTAAGCTCAATGCTTTGGGATGTGATTTCCCATTCAAGACCACGGAATCCAAGAGCTTTGCGGGATTAGGCTCCAAAGGATCCAAGACTGAAGGTTTGAAAACCGTGCCATTTTCCCTGCGATTTGCAGATTCCGACAGGGTCTTGAATGGGGCGATAGAATCACAGCAGCTTGCCTAAGGGGACACTCCCATCTTGTTGTCACTACGTGCTCAAGCCTCCTTGGGGATCATGAAGAACATGAGAACATGTGAAATTTCAATTCATGGAAAACCCCTTGAGTGGTTCAGATGTTCACGCACAGGGCTGTTGATGTTAAATTTCACACAAGGCCTTAGAAATGCCACTGAGGAATCAATGGATGACCCAGTTCCCAAATGTCACAGGAAATACCGGGCACTCACAGGATTCACATCCGATTCTCGCACCATGGCTGGCGGTATGATCTCACTGACCAATGACGTCCGTACCCAGTTTGGGGACCCGCGTGCTGCTTAAGAGTACCTGAGCAACGCCGTGACTTCGGTGGCGAACGATGTCTTGGTGACTACGGGCGGGCAATTTGAGAGGCTGATTAGCCCTAGCTCGCCACGTTTGTTCAGGCACTTCAGCTGCAAGGTGTTGCACAACGCCGAGCATGTTTCTGCTGATCGAGCTCACTTGGGGTGGCACCCGAAGTTGTTGAAAGGGACCTTGGAGTCGGACGGGGTTGACCGATTGATGAATCAGCTTCTTCAGACGGTTGCCTCAGCAGATTCAGCAGGCGCATTGATCAATCTGTCACGCACTTCGGACAGGCACAGATCAGTTGGTTTTGGCTTCGCGATGTTTCATCTGCTGAGGAGCCGCGGGTACTTGGTTGAGCTGATTCACTGGAATAGTTCCCATTGGTCGGAGATGGCACGCGGTTGGCCGAATGGTCTGTTGACACTCTTAGATGATCAGATGTTCGCTGCATTCCCAGCAGCTGTGTCCGATGAGATTGAGGAAGGACTGGATGAGGATCCACTTGATAAGGTCATGGATGCCCAGGACCGTTCTGCACAGGATCGCGTTGAGGACCTGATCACTGAGGAGACGTTGGCTGACGCCTTCGACATCCCAGGTCTGCCTGCAGACGAGCAGGAACGTCGTTAAGAAGCTGCCCCAACGGGTCAGGATTGGAGTCCGACGGCTCCAACGCCAGTTCGGACACATTCCGAAACAAGTCATGATCAATTTCCTTCGGGCTGCCAAGGTTCGCAAGGAAATCATTGATGCAGTCCGTTTGCATCGCTGTGAGACATGCGAGAAGACCGCACCGAAGAAACCAACCCACAAAGTAAGCTTGCCAGGGGAATACACATTCAATCACACTTTGGGCATTGATGTGTTTGAAGTTATGGATTCAGAAGGAAACACTTATCAAGTTCTCAACATGGTTTGTGTGGGTTGTGTGGGTACCACATTTCAGTTGGCAGAAGTGGTTCGTGTTGGAAAGGGTCAGCCCAGTTCATGGATGAACACAACATTCGCGTCCCCTCAAATCCCCTGAAGGCATTGGACGCGTAGAGCGCCATGGTGCCATCTTGAAGGCGATGTACAGAAAGGTTTGCCATGAAACAGGTGCCAACACGAAAGAACAGGTTGAGTCAGTTCTGACTCAGTGTGCGCAGGTCAAGACTGACACTGCCAGACTTGGAGGCTTTTCTCCGAGCCAATGGGTTCTTGGGAGAGCTCCCAGAACACTTCCATCCTTTGCATCCGAAGAGGAACATGCATCCTTGGGCGCAACTGCAGCCCGACATGACCCTTCCAGCACCTTTGCATTGCAACACCAAGCTAGGCTTGAAGCTCAGAAAGCACACGCGCATTTGGAGTGCTCACGTAGGGTTCAGAAAGCATTGCTTCGAAACGCCGTCCCTTTCGACAGGGAATTTTCGGTAGGGGACCTTGTGACGTCTCGCAGGGACAACCAAAAGGGAGGCACCTCATGGTCTCCTGTTTCCAGGGTTATCGGACATGAAGGTTCAAAGAGCATTTGGCTTTTGTGTGGAAATTGTCCTGTTTTGGTTTCTTCCCACAATGTCCGTGTAGCCAGTCCCAATGAAGCACTTGCACAGGCTGTCATGAATGGCGAGCCAGTCGTTCCTTTTGAGGTAGTGCGTGAGGATGGACAGCGATCTTTTCTTGATGCCAGAAGACCCAGACGAGAGGGAGAGAGAGACAGGACAAGAAATGGAAGAAGAAATAGAAAACCCCAATGAAATACCAACCACAAATGCAGTTTCAAGTGATTTGCCACCAGTTCCGGAAGATGACGAAGATGATTGGAATATTCGGCCGGGGATTTTTGATGGAGAAGAGGGGAAAGAAGAAGATGCAGAAGTAGATGCCATCGAAGAGATTTCACAATCTAGGCGTCGAAACGAGCAGCCACCTGTGCCTGCACGCAATGCGAGACCCCGTACAGAGGCCCCTATCCCTGGTGAACCGGAGGGCAAAAGAGGAGCTGCCTTAGCGCCCTCCAGAAGGGAATCCCAAGCTTCAGGATCTGCAGGACCGATTGCAACGGCCCTAGCTCCTGGCGCGATGGTTTGGCCGAATCTCAAGCAGAATCTTGATGATTTACCTTTGTCTCTTCGAGAACATTTCAGGCGTGCTGGAAACATAGCTGTACATGACATGAAAAGAAGCACGTGAGACCTTCACATGTTTTGTATCCCAAACTGTTGGGGAAGATGACATACCAGGTAAGAAAGTTTTCAAAAGTATCAATTTCGACAGTGCACCCCCGGAAGTACAGGAAGGACTTCCTGCTGCAGGAAGAAGGAATGGAAAGTTTGAATCTTTCGCTGCGGCCATTCCCGTTGTTGGTCAGCAGAAGGCCGATCTTCTTGCAGAGGGACAGGTTGTGGTGCCCAGCAAGTGGGTCGATGTTGACAAAGCTAAGCACAAGAAAGGAAGCCTGGAGAATGGAAAAGTCGCTTAGTGTCTTGCGGCAATTTTGACTTCGCAGAGGGTTTGAGAAGCGATTCGCCCACGGCGGACACCGATATCCGTTTGCTCATCTGCGCATGGGCATGTTGCCATGGTGCTCTACATTCAGCTGATGTAGCGAGAGCATATTTTCAGGGGATGCCTTTGGATCAAGTTTTACTCATGAGTCAACCACGCGGTGGACTCCCAGGTGTCGATCCGGAAGCCCTTTTTGTCATCCGAGTACCGATTTACGGACTCACCGACTCAGGTCGAGGATTCGATCTGGATGCAGCTCGACGGTGACGCTAAAGATTGCGGATTCAAAGCAAGCGTGATATACCCTGCACTGTACTACCTGCCCGGTAGCGATGGTGATTGCGTCGCTCTGCTTGCTTCTCATGTGGATGACTTGCGCTACACCTATCTTCCAGAAGGTGAAGAGGTCGTCGCAAAATTCCTCCAGAAATTCGAGCTTGGTTCAAGAGGTCGATAACTTCCGCTACTGTGGAAAGCAGTTCAGCCGGGAGCCCGATGGAACCATCATGATAGCTAGGTGTGACGGACAATACACGCGTGGCATCAAGTTCGCTGCAACAAGATCACACAATGAGGTTCTTGAGTAGGATGATCTCACACGCTTGAGGTCAACACTATAGGAAGGGTTTTGATAACGTCTCCCCAAAGCTGGCACTGGCCAATCTCCCCCAGTTTAGATTTCCCTCTGAATGGGTCCGGCTGCTTTCGCACAGCTGGCTTCACCAGACTAGTAGGTGGATTTCTTTTTAAAACATGTCCTCCCAGAACCTGCAGTGGTCACTACTTCCTTGCCCCAGGGCGATGCCATAAGCCCCATGGCACTGGCACCCTGCTAGCATGGCCCACGCGTGACGTGGCCACCATTCCTGGCATCCGACAAACAGTTTTTGGTAGACGATCGGGTCCTTAGTGCTGCATTTGTTGCCACTTTGCGGGTCGGACTGCAGCGATGGCAAACCTGGAGTCAAAGAATCGGCTTAAAAGAAAATTTGGCAAAAAGGAAATTTGTTGCTCCCACCCTCTTGCAGCATCAGCAGCTGTATAACATCGGCTTCAGTTCCCAAATTGTTAACCAAGAAAGGGTGTTGGGCATAGCTTTCAAACAGAGCTCGACTCCGCCATCCATTGTTCAACAGGAACGGGCTGAGCGGGCCCTCAGAGCTGCTCACCGGCTTTGTCGTTTGCCTGTCGCCAGGGCCTGCTGGATGCGTTTGTTCAGATCCAGGATTTTATCCAGAGCACCTTGGGGTGCATGGTTTGAACCATTGAATCCTGATGTCATCAAATCTTTTCAGAAATGTTTGTCTGCCATGTCCTAGAAGGCGTACATGCAATGTACAACGGAGAGGGATTTGCCAGCAATGGACACCCCCGGGTTTTGCTTAGGATCCTGGTGAATGGGATTTGGGTCCTTAGGGTTTGGGGGTGCAAGGCATCAAGGTTTATGAAGGGGATTTGGTCTTGGATCCTGCCTCTAAATTGTTGCATGAAGTTCCCCAGCATCAGCCAGCTATTTGTTCGACAGTTTGCAGTGTCGTTCGTGCGGTGCTTGTGTGACCTTGCGCCCACTTTGGCTGGTGCTGTTTTCTTTCGAAACCCCACCCTCCCGCCGCTTTGGGGGGATGGATTTCGTTGCGATTTGGGGATTGGCTGGGACCATTGTAGTCTGCATGGGCTGGACAGCTAATGTAGGTGTTACATGGGCAGGATTGCCTTCATGATCATCCCCCACCGAAGGGCTTTGGAAAAACAGGGGAGTTGCCCAGTGTTCATGTTGCGAGCCTTTGTTTAGTTGAATGATTCTCTTTTTGGAATAGCAACTTGTTGAGCTTGGATCTGTGTTTCACATTACAGTTCAGCTGGGTGCCAAAGGGACTGTTCAATGTATCCTCCGCCAATCTGACAGATCCAATCATGATGGTTTTGATGCCTTGCCTTCGTGTTATTGCTGAGCAAATCCCATTTGCAGCACATGTCATCACGCACTTTGTTTCGTATGCTGCGTGGCCATGTGTACTTTCCGGATATCCTTGCAATTACTTTGTCCATCGGGATGTTGAGGCAAGTTCAAGTTCCTTGGCCTTGGCGTCACATCGCGCGCACTGGCATTTGGCAGGGTTTTGTCACCAAAAGCCTGGAACAGCTGGCTTTGGAGCCCTTTTCCCAACAGAGCGTGGCATTTTAGGCATAATGACTTAGGCATTACGGCAGGCAGACAATTGTTTGGTGAAACTATGGTAGGGCAGCTTTGATAGGCATTGCAGTTTATGCCGGAATCCGGAAAGCCCGAGTTTCCCAGCCATGTCCCTTTTGCCATGCCGAGGCGCCGGTCTGGGAGCACCTCGTTTGGCATTGCGTTGATCCAGTTTTAGCCCAGGGGCGACCAGAGCCCCCATTGGATGAGGTTTTGGGTGGCCGCCAGATTGCAGCCGCGCCCGTGCTGCGTGTTGGCACACACGTCCCGATGCGGGCATGTGTGCGGGAGGTTGTGATTTTCCTTTTTGTTTGGGCTATGGTGTCCTGTTGCGCTGCACGGGCTCTTGTGGGCTCTTGCTGGGTGACGGAGGCATCTGGTCATGGTAACCCAAACTACTGTATGCGGTCGGACTTGGGGTGTGCAGCATCGAACGACATACATTGGTATTCGTACTGAAGGTGGTGGTAAAGATTGACTTGCTTGCAAACTATGGGCGGACACGCGCAAACTATGGGGGGTTGCTTTGTGCCTACGTCTTGATTATTATTGGGGCTGAGGTGTGATTTGAAAAATTAAGGTCCAAACTTGAGTGCTTGATTTTTGGAACTAATTAACTAGCACATACCAAACTCTGGTTCCGGGTAGCCAATTCTAATTCTCGGGAGCCTCCCTTTTCAGATCCCTGAACTTGTTTCAGAACTTGTGGGATAAATACATATGCTGTCATGTTTGGCGGGTCTTGGCGACAAGGATTTTGGACTTCGTGCGCCGAAGGGGAAAGGCAAAGCATTCTCAATGCATGTTGGATGAAAACATGATCAGAAGAGTACGTGGTCAAATCCAAACAATTTTTCCTGTTTCGGTGTGTTCCAATGTGAGGGGATTCGCCTTTCATTTTTCACCCCCAAAACGGTTTCTAGCCTCGGAATTTTCCATCTTGCTGGTCAAAACGAACCTTGGGATGCGACATCCTGAAAAGGAAAAACTTGCAATGCATGCAGGTGGTTGATCTCTGCACATGCTCAGGCCCCATATTTTTCAAGTTTATAGGTAGCGGATTCCCTGAACACCAATCAGGAAAACCCTTCGGCTTAAGGTAGCGCAAGTTGGTTGAAGGTTTTTCTATTTCAAAACCTTTAGACCTAAGAGTCATTTTCATTCTTCAAGATTCTTGAATCTTGAGCCCGAGATTTCTGTCTTAGAGTCATGTGAAATCATGAATCTTGATTCCAAGAGGTGTAAGATTTCTGTCCTGAGTCCTGTGATATCTTGAACCTTCATGCAGCTTTAGTGTTTGAAGCTGCCTTTGGTTCTCTCACAGCCACCTTGTGAGCACATGATGGGGGTACCGTGCGGCTACATGGCCTTGTGGTACGGCTATGTGTATTCTCAGCCCATGCTGGAATGGGAAGGTCAACATGTTCTAGGAAGATTAGCTCGTCTGGAAACAGAGCCCTGAGTCGCCGAAATTAGTAAATTTATTTTTTTTTTATAGGATTTACGTAAATCGAAGAATTTAGGTTGAACAAAAAGTCAAAAGTATGAAAAAAGTGAATTGATTTAGGTAGGTAAGTAAATCCATTTAGGTAGGTAAGTAAATGCATTTAGGTAGGTAAGTAATCAATTTAGGTAGGTAAGTAAATAAAATGAAGTAGAAAAACAAAAGAAAATAAGTAGATAAGTTAAGTACGTTAGAGAAGAAATGAACTCATTTTCATCTTTGTTGGATATGATTTTTGTTATTTTAATAGGTGAAAATTCATAATACTAGCTAGGTTATGGCTTGTAGATTCTTATTATTGAGAGTACGTGATTGTATTGACATGTCTGATTTGCCTTTTTGGCGCACAAACTACCAATGCATTTAGGTATATGATTCTTTGGTTTGGCTCAAGCAGCAGGTGTAAATATAGAAAGCAGGACGCTGTGAGAGTATGTTATGAGTGTTTCTTCTAATTTGTATTCACTTAAAAAAGCTCAAGCTACAACTGAATATGTGCTCATGTCCACTAGAGAACATGTATTACTTGAAGAAGTGTCCGGGTGTTCATTCTACTGTACTATAGCCTACCATGGACTTATAACTAATTTTACCTAAAGGTTAGCTTCACTTTGCATACGGTGTTCAATGTTTATGGTGCTTGACTTACCATCATTGCACTGCAAGACCGCAGAAGCATCTGCGCGACACTAAATGTTTTGACATGATGCAGGCGAATGTTTTTCCTTTGCCGCCTGCTGAATTTGTTGTGATTCCTTTGCCGGCAGAGCTTCGACATCACAGATATGTACCAGCAATAAAACTTGAAGGCCGACGGTTGCCAACGCTGCAAGAGAGGATCGACAGCAATTGCCTTAATAGTTATTGTTTGTTTCTTCCTCCAACCATTTTGGAAACCCATGCATGTGGCGGAATTGAACACCCCAGAAGAGGGCAAGGGTGACGTGGTCACCCAGGGCGGCGAGTCTGAACTCTCTAACGCCCGAGAAGCAGGAAAAAAAGCAAACAAACCTTTGATTTTTCAGATGTTTCAATGTTTTCTTACACAGATTCTCCGTTTTTGATGATGTCAATGCCATTTGTTGATATTTTTGGTTTTTTTCTGATCATTGATGTCAACACCGTAGGTGACCGTTTCATTTAACCCCCTTTTGACGCCTAGCGTTTGTTTTAGTTTTTCAACGCCAAAAGGGTGTTTTCACCGCTGCATTTGTTCATTTGTTCTGGACCTATTGTTAGGATATTCAGCGGTTCTTCCATTTTTTTTGAACAGATCGATTGATTTTTGGGACTTTTCAATCTTGAGTGAAAGCAACAAAAAAACAATGTGGTAGTGAAAGAGAGAGAGAATAAGAGAAGGCAAAAAAACAAACAAGAAAATAAGGATGCGTAATAAAGAGCACGGAAGAGAAAAGGGTATCGATGAGACATCAATAAATGTCAAGAATAAACAACCAAAAAAATCAAAAAGGGAAATTGGGTAAAATACAAAAAACCAAAAAGAAACATACAGAAAATTAGAAAAATATAAAACAATGACATACACAAAGCAAAACAAAAACATTCAGTGCAAAGCAAACAGAAGGAGACTGAACGAGGAAAACATAAATCACACCACAACAACCCATTCATGTTTACATGTCTTCAACACCGGGAATGGGGGAAATACAAGATCAATGTGCAACATGCACTTTCGCCATCAAAGCGCATAGAACAATATTTCCTTTGAAACGGTCCATCAAGACGAAAAAAGTCCTGGACTGCAATGCTCACTTGTGCACACGCGCCGCGCGCGCGGGCCGAAAAGAACTCAGAAATGAAGCCTTCTTGTCCAGGACTTCTTTCAACCTGAGGACCCCTTGCAAAGGAAATTTAAATGTTGTTGTAGACTGAATGCCATTTCTTGCACAATTTGGGCGGGGAAACAAGGTATTCAATAGGGTTATCATAGCGGAACAAGAAGCAAAGCACCATCTATTGTAGATATTGCAAAATGCACCTTGAAACCCAAAGATCTCTTAACAGCGCGGTCCAAACAACTATGCACTTGAACGACCAGAAAAGTAAGAACATAAAAACTAAACCCCTAACATTTGAACCTTGGGGTTCAAATACCCATGAACCTTGAAACCAATCAACGTACGCACTTGAAACCCCCAAATCTATGCACTTTCCATTTCATTGGTCAAATGTAATTTATTCACGGATCAAACCCCAACCCCTAACACCTTCAGCCAAACCCAATCTCTTAGACAAACCCCATCCACCCAAGGCCCAAACCCCAAAACAAACCCTTGCCCCACAGCAAAAGGCGTGTCATGCGCAGGCAAGGTCAGTGGGGTTGTTTCTGTGGGGCGGAGCCCCAAAAACAATAAGAAAAAAGTGCTGACACCATAATTTCGGGTATTTCTGCCCAAGAAATGTTTGGCATTTATGCCATCTTATGGGTTGCAATCCCATAAATTCGGATTTTAAAAATTTTGGTTTGTGCAATAAACAATGGTCAGATGGCGTTTATTCCAAAAAAATTGATTATAGATTTCATGGGTTCCAAATGCATAGGTTGCTTGCTTTGAAGGTTCATGGGAGTTGGGGCCTTATTATGGTTCAAAAGAATAGCTTCAAGGTTCAAATATTTGTAGTTTCATGTTAATACATTTTTGGGGTTTCAGGTTGTAGATTCTTGTGTTCATGGTTCAATATTTCATGGCTTTAATTTCATAGATTTCTGGGGGTTCAATTACATAGCTTTTTTGGGTTTCAGGTGCACAGGTTGTTTGGCCTTAAGGTTTATTAGCATTTTGGCCTCGAGGCACTTTAGACTTCTAGTTTTATACGTTGAGAAAGGTCCCAACCCAGAATGAGAAGGTTTCCCAAAAAGGTTTGGAACTACCAGGATGGCTGTGAAGGAGAAAAGCAGCTGTAGTATACTAGTGGCATAGGGATGGTATAGGGGTGATGGTATAGGGGTGGTAAAGGGGGCGGTATTATTACTTGAGGGAATGTAAGACCTTTGCAGGTTACCTTAATAACTTGAGGCTTGGGGGTATGCCAGAGCAACTGTGTTACTTGTCTTATTTTTGTTCCAGTAGGCAAATGCAAGATGAAGATGTTTTACTTAAATATGTGCAATGTTGTTGGTTGATTTTTTTTGGACATTTTCATACATTTTCTAGATTTTTGCGATGGCTTGTTGGTGAATTTCTTATGCACTTGCATAAAAAGTGCATACACTTTTTGCAAAAGCGCATAAAAAGTGCACAAAAAGTGCATATAGAGTTCATAAGAAAATTTGTAAAATATGTGAAAAATCTTCTGAAAACAATCAAACATATTACCAATTTTACATCAAGTAACACCAGATTGTTCAAGTAATACTAACATGAAAGAATGCTCAAGTAATACTGTCATGCTCAAGTAAAGACATACACCTTGAAGAAAAACAATCCAAATGTCTATTTCCAACCCATTGTTCACCACAGCATCTAGTGAAGCCATGCTCCAAGCTAAATTGGATGCCAAAGATTTTTCCCAAGCTGGAATATACTACAAATGTCGACGAACTAGATAAGAGAATTTCAGGCACACATGAATTACTCAACTTACAGAAGTTACTTCAGCTTGGAAATGAAGCGAAGACTTTACCCCATGGAAAAGATCTACATTTTTCAAATTAAACTGTAGCATTCTCAAATTCAACACTTGGACACAGTAACATCTGCCAGCTACATGCAAAAACATCATAACACAAACTCAAATAAAAACAACAAAAAAACCTCAAGGAATAGAAGCTCAAGCATTGCATGCACAAGTAAACACGAAGCTGACATACCCAAGCACACAGAATTCAAGTAACATATGCACAGGTCCAGGAAAGAACCAAAAACCTTGAGGAATAGAAGCTCAAATATAACATGCGCAAGTAAGGACAAAACTGGCACCCCCAAGGCCCCCAAGCACGAAAAACTCAACACAGGTCCAACAAAAACCAGCAACAGATCTGAAGATAATGCTCAATATTATATTTAGTGAGCAGGATGCTGCGAGAGTGCATGTTTCTATTGTCTCTTCAAAATTGTAATCACTTGAAAAAACTTAAGCTACAAATGAAGATGTGCTCATGTCCACTGGAAAATATGTATTACTTGAAGAAGTGTCCGGGTGTCCGTTCTACCTTAGATAAATGCTACAGTGTCCCTTTAACAAAACACACTTTCTGCAGAATATGCTAGATGCCTTCACCGTAATTAATACCCATACCGGCCAACAAATGCAGTATTCAAACCAGAAATGCAACATACCCTTCTTAATAAGAGTAACCTTCCTGTGGGGCAATGCAGTGTGCTTTTGCAGGTACAATATCCCTACAAAATATGAACTATTCCTTTAAAAGATACACCATGCCCTTTGAAGGATGTTTAACCTTCCTTCCAAAGTAGCAGCATATATTCCTTTTTAGAAAAACCATTTTTGTTTGCACACTATGCAGTATTGTTGACATAGAGAATCCGTCTAAAAGGTGCAATATTTTTAAACATGTGAGCATTATTAAAGACTGTTCTTCCGCTTCTTACAACAAAACACTGTCTGGTAT